GGAAAATATATTTATTAATTGGAAACAAAACAAATTCTTACATTGAAACTAGATCTGCTGCCTATTGAAGGCTTTGAGCTTGAAGCCTGCTCTTTGTTATAAAGAAAGACTGGCAAAGGCAACAGGCACAAAGACCGTTTCTTTGATGCAACCAAATGGATGGAAAGATAGTTTTAAAGGAAATACTTTTCTCACTCCATGGAGGAATGTTCCCAACTAGTCATGTTGCGTAGCACTGTGGGAGCGTCCCACACTAAGGGACCCTTGAGCCATGGGAACCTGAATCCTGACCCCAGCACATACTACACTGTTTACATCTGTAAAATGAGGATTAGGTCAATCTTTCCAGCTATTATAAGAATGAGAAGAAATGGCTTTTGTGATGTGCCTGGAGCACACAGCTGTCAATCCATGGCAACTGCTAATCAGCTCAGTCTTTTTATTATGTTTCATTGTAAGCTCAGAGTTGGAAGGTTCTTTACAGTTAGTGGTCATCCCCCTGCTCTAACCCAAGACCCTCAGTCAAGGACATAATATGGCTTAAAGGCTCAAAGAACAAGTGAGTTACCCTAAGCATGCCATTTTGCATCTTATTGCATACTTCGTAGAATAAGAATAATTTCTTCCTTTTCTACCTTATGAAGCTGATATGAGACTCTCATGACAGTAATGGAAGGCTAGAAAGTTAAAAGTGCCTTCCTAACACAAGAAGTATTAGTCCTATGATGAAGACCATCAAGGTGCTATTAAATAAATGACAACATTGTTCTTCTGTTTATAAGAAACAGATAAAGCTATCTGTTGTTGATAAGCCTTCTTTTTTGCTTACTTCTGAAACACACGATGCCATTCCAGACAAGTGTGGCCAACCTTCCTTAACCACCACCTCCAGAAGAATGAGGAGCCTTCCTGTGTGCTCTTATGGCAGGGGCACTGTGTCAACCATCCTTGTCTACTTTCCTTTTTTTTCCCACTAGACCATAAGCTCCTTAAGGACGAGGGCCTGCGTCACGTATGTTGTGTTGTTGCCAGCACCTAGCCCCGTAACCCACAGCCAGCCCTCAAAAATGGAGCCAGAGTCCTCCCTCTGCCACTTAGAAAATTGTTCTCCATGCCTCTGTTTCCTCATCTGTAAAATGCAGTTAACAATGGTGTCTACTTCTTCGGGTTGTATGTAGTAAAGATTAAAATGGTAACTCATGCAACATGAGGTAACTTCTCACAGATCTTGGTCCTTAGCATTATGTAGGTGCTACCTGTTAGTATTATTGCTGTGATTATCCTGTCATGTTTAACCCTGAGGGAAAAGGAAGAACTAACATCTATTGAATTCTCACTTGTTGCCCTTTGTGCTCTCAATTCTTACAACAGCTCCATGAGATGAGACTTATCATTCCCATTTTGCAGATGAGACAAGCAAAGCTCAGATAAGTTATTGGTTTATGGATCGTCACACAGGTAGTAAATGGCTGAGTCCAGACATGAATCCAGGTCTGTCTCTGCTACACTTATGATGTTAGAGCATACATGTAGATGGAGGAGGAGAGGGAAAGGTATCCATTCACCTTGGACTGAAGGGGCATCTGCTTAAACAGTCCAAAAAGAAATGCTGATCCCTGAGTCTGCTGCCCACCTGGATCCCACCTAATTCCAAGTGAATGTTAGGTTGAATGACTGTAGAAGAAGCAGGAGGAGAAAAGCTTGCTTAACTCTACTGAATGTAACATGGTCCAAATTTTTTCAACTGTTGGACCCTTTTTTCAAGGCTCATCTAATACTGTCTCTCTGAACCAGTATTACATGGAACAGAAATTGGGAAAGGCTCAGTCTGCAAAAACCTAAAATTCAACCTGATATTTCCACGGGAAGCCTTGTTTACTAAGGGCTGGCTATGGTAGCCGAGCGTCCTATGCAATCTCCAGATATGGATGACTTATCTTGCACAGTATTGAAATACGGTATTGAAATCTTGCAATTGTTAATATTTTTGTTAACATTCAAAACATTAATATAGAAATTCAGATGTCCAGCTTGTCCTAAACTGTCAACAGATCCACAAGAAAAGGTCCACAGTCTGACACAGCAACAGTGGACGAGTTGAGAGGCAGCTGCCTTCTTCAATAAGACATGTTTAAGTGTTTTCCATTTTGCCACAGAGCTCACCATGTCCTATTGTATACCTAGTCTGCTTCATTCATTTGTGTTACCTTCCTGGTCACTTTGCCCTTTGCATTTTTGACCCTTCTCTCAATGCTGGGGGGAAGAGTGAATTTGTGAAAAACATTTGGGCAGAGTTCAAGCTGACTTATTCACATCTCAAACCTCCTAGGAGTGATAATCTTACCAACTTTAACGTGAGAGAAAAAATATATAGCAAACATTTACTGAGATCCCAGAATGAGCAGGTACCTTACCAGACTCTGGTGAGAAAAAGAACAAAGAAGGTATAACAAAGAAAAGATGGGAGTAAAGATCCCAAGCTGATGGGGAAAACAGACAGACAAAACGTGCAACAGAATCTGGTAACTGCTGTGAATGTGGAATAAAGTGGAATAGGTACAGCTTTCCCCAGGGGAAGCCCAAGGAGACTTCCAGAAGCAATGATACACAAATTGTAACTTGAAGTTCAGCAGGTAAAGGAGACAAGGAAGTACAATTCAGAACACTGGAAAGTCATGTGTGAGGTCTATAGTGGAGGACATCCCAGCATCTTTCAACCTGGAAGAAATTACAGGTTGTTTGGTGTGGCTGGCGGGCTGAGAGTGAAGGGTGGAGGGCTTGGAGATGCAAGTCAAAGGTGACCTGAGGCAAGACTGGCCAGGTCTCTCACTCCATCCGGAAGACTGTGAGCTTTAACCTATAGAGCAGCGCTCTTCAATCTTTTTTTAATTAAGCACTTTTATTACTTAAATATTTGGAAGTTCATACCACCAAATAAATATGTTATTTATTTATAAATCATATAAATATACTAGCATCATTACTAATATTCAAGTTACAAATATAGATTTAGGATGATGTTCTTTTTAAATTAAACATGAATTTGTATGTCAAATAATCTTTGTTTAGGAACACAAGGTAATTGTTGTATAAGAAATAAGACCATAAATAGTAATGAAAGATCATATTTAGAAGTTAACATTTAGCTACTCTTTTTAAATTACGAACAATGAAAGATGTAAAAGCATTTTTAAGATATTTAAATTGAATGTAGTTAACTACTGAAGGGTCACAATTAGTACAAGTTCTAATAACTGATGATGCCCAGTTTTTCCAACACCAAACCATATATAGGTGAGGGGTTCCTATCCAGACCATAATAAATGTTCATCCTAGTGAACAAAAGTAAAAAGACACTTGTTTTCCATCACAAATTCAACAAAGCCTTCAGTTGCCTAAAGAATCAGCAAATAAAGAAGAGCAATAATATAATAGCAAACATTTATTATGCACTTAAATTTTGCTAGACATCGTTCGTTATAAGCATTCTACATTCTATTTTTCCCCCTTTTTCTCCCCAAAGCCCCCCAGTACACAGTTGTATATTCTCCGTTGTGGGTCCTTCCAGTTGTGGCATGTGGGACGCCGCCTCAGCGTGGCTTGATGAGCAGTGCCATGTTTGTGCCCAGGATTCAACCAACGAAACACTGGGCCACCCGCAGCAGAGCACGCAAACCTAACCACTCGGCCACCAGCCAGTCCCGTTTTTTTTTTTTCTTTCCGCCGGCCGCACAATTTAATCAGTGCAGATTATTTACAGAGAGAAACATACGGGGGTGGGCACTGACCCCCCTCCCCTTGGCTGGCTCTCCGTTCTGAGGATGGAGGGGGAGGAAGCTACTGGACCTGTGCTGGGGCCAGCCCGTGAGACGCCCCTCCCTCCGGGGTCTGGGGGTTCTGGGCGGCAGACTGCTTGCTCAGGGCTGGGGAAGAGCCTGCTATACAGTACCATTTCCGTGGCAGCCTCGCCTCCCGCCTGCCTTGGGGAGGAAGAGAGAGAGGAAGCGTCTCCGCCCTCAGGGTTGAGCCCAGGAGGAGGGCAGTCTCCAGGCCACAGAAGGCCCCTCCGGGCTCCACAGCCCCCTCCCCCAGTCTGCATGGGGGGATGCGCTGCTGGCCTCTCCCCACTCCTGTCCCTTCTCCCACTGCCCTGAAGGACAGGGAACCGGAGGGGAGGAAGCCCCCAAGACTGGGGCTGTGGGCCCCCACACAGGTGAGCAAGAGGGCTGTGGACATCCACCACCGTGGCCCGGGCAGCCGTCAGCCCCTCTCTCTCCAGGGGACACGGGCAGCTGGAGCCTGAGGCTGCAGGGTTCTGAGAGCCCTGAGGACGGTGATGTGGGTGAGAGAGGGTGGGAGGGGCCCAGGTGGGTCACAGCTCAGAGAGGAGAGAGTGGACAGGGGGCGGAAGCCCAGCCAGGGCAGGGCGGGGCGGGGGGTGGCGTGCTCCTGGGGTGGAGGGTCCTTGGCAGACCGCCTTTGGTCCTTGGTAAGGCAGGCCCAGGGCCCCGTTTCCAGAGAGGGAAGGGGGTGTGGGCTCAAGGGGTACGTGATTCTCCCAATCAACCTATGAATTGCTATAGGAAACTGAGACAGAGAGATACATATTAAGTGTTCAACGTCACACAGCTTGTAAGAGGGTGTCCAGCATATGAGCCCAGGCAGTCTGGTACCAGAGCCTGGGCTCCTAACTACTCTATTACAAGAATGCTCATCCAAGAATTATTTAAAATGGAGGGAATCTAAACGTAAATGTCTGTCAGTTATGGTAGATTTCCAACATGGAATAGTATATACCCACTAAAAACATGTTTTTTCAGAAAAATTTAATGACATAGGAAATGTTCATGAAACCAGCAAACAAAAAGCTAAATATGATGATGTGACATTTATTGAGTGATTACTATGTTCCAGGCTCATTCTAAATGATTTATAATGGATTATCTCAATTAATTATCACACTAACTTTACAAAATAGATACTATTTTCATCCCTGTTTTACAGATGAGAAAAAACTTTCAGAAGTTAAATAATTTGCTCAACATTATCCAACCTTGGATTCAAATGTGAGTAGTCTGAGTCCAGAAGTAATCCTCTTAAATAATACTCTATGCAACTTCTCCTGTATTCTCCTGTAAAATGAAGGCAATTATGAACATCCATTAATTCATTCATTCCACCAATACTTATTGAGCACCTCATGTGATCAGGATACTTCTTAGCTGTGGGCTACAACAGTGAACAGGCAGAAAATGTTCCTACATTACATTCTAGTGGAAAATAGACATCAAACCACTCATTATAATAAGGTTTAATGAGCACTAAGACAAGGGAAGTTCAAGGTGGCCTGAGAACCAGTAGTCTAATTAATTCCTGGTATGACAAATCCCTTCTCAATGTCCTTGTGTTGATATACTAGACTGGCAGGGCACAGTTTAGAGGATCACTGAGCACTCCAAACATCCACCTCGTGAGAGAAGCAATCTCTAGTTGTTCCCTGTTCAATGGTTGACATAACCAGCTACCTTGGCCACAGACTGGACTAGGACCTACCAAAAGTAGCTATCTTGTGCATTGATTGTCATGCCGAGTGAGAGCAAGAGAGAAAGAGAGGAAGAGGAAGCCGAGGAGTCATGTAGGAATACCCCAGAAAAAAAGACTTCAAGGCAATCCACCAAAATGCTACCTCCAGATAACTTTATTAGTTATCTCCAGATAGAAGAAGTTGGGTGATGCTATTTTCTTTTTGTTCTTTTGTATTTTCCAAATTTTCTATTGTCGATAATGTTTTGTATATGTAGGTTTCTAAACTCCAGACCATGTGTACAATGACAGTAACTTGTAGAAAAGATAAAATTACCAGTTAAAGAGGTTTAGTATCTTTCTGACTACAAGAACCAAATGCTATATCCTGCTGGGTTTTTTAATTGCAGTAAAACACACGTAATATAAAATTTACCATCTTAATCACTCTTAAGTGTACAGTTTAGTGGCATTACATATATTCACGTTGTTGTACAACCATTACCACCAGCCGTCTCCAGACTCTTTTCTTCTTGCAAAACTGAAGCTCTGTACCCATTAAACAATAACTCCCCATTCCCCTCCCCCCAGCTCTGGCAACCACCATTCTACTTTCTATCTTTATAAATTAGACTATTCTAGGTACCTCATATAAGTTGTACCTCATAGAGTATTCATCCTTTATGACTGGCTTATTTCACGTATCATAATGCCTTCAAGATTTATCCATGTTGTAAACTGTGTCAGAACTTCCTTCCTTTTTAAGGCTGAATAATATTCTGTTGCATATATATATATATATACCACATTTTGTTTACCCATTTATAAGAGAGCTTCCAGCTCTTGGCTATTGTGAATAATACTGCTATGAATATTGATGTGCAAATATCTCTTCAAGTCCCTGCTTTCAGTTCTTTTGGTCTATATCCACAAGTAGAATTGTTGGATCATGTGATATTTCTATGTTTAATCTTTTGAGGAACTGCCATACCATTTTCCATGGTGGCTGTACCATTTGCCATTCCCATCAACAGTGCACAAGGGTTGCAACCTTTCCACATACTCGCCAACACTTTTTATTTTTGTTTTTTTGATAATAGCCATCATAATGACTGTGAGGTGGTATCTCCTTGTGGTTTTGATTTGCATTTCCATGATGGTCAGTGATGTTGAGCATCTTTTCATGTACTTATTGATCATTTGTATATCTTCTTTGGAGAAATGTCTATTCAAGTTATTTAGCCATTTGTTTGGTTTTTTGTGTTGAATTGTAGGAGTTCTTTATATATTCTGGATATTAACCCCTTATCAGCTGTATTATTTGCAAATATTTTCTCCCGTTCTATGGGTTGTCTTTTCACTCTGTCTTTTCACATCCCATTTTAAATTAGATATTTTATGAGCACTGGGGGCCTGAAGATGTCACCCAGAGAAGTCCCTAAAACATTTTCCATGTTTAATTGGTTTTTTTCAAGTTGTGCTTCCTTACAGGAAGGAAGACAGAGCATTGCCAGATTGCCAAACCACAGAACCAGAAAGGTCCAACATGGCAATGGGGTGCCCTGCACAGAGGGTGCTGTGTGCAAGAAGGGAAGATCTGCGCATGCCCCAACTGCCCCCGCCCAGACCCCTCCCCACCAAGCGATGACATGGAGATCCTTCCCCCTTCACATCCCATAGGAACCCTGCTCACCTCCCTTTCCCCTTCACGATAAGGTGATTTAGAGCGTGAACTCTGCCTCCTCCATTCATTGATCAATAAATGACGTTTCTGCTTTGCTTTTCCGAAGCTGATCTCCTTCTACTGGAGCAGGTGGCTCCGGGCAAAAGGACCCACTTGTAGGTCACCTCGGTAACAAAAGGAACTGAGATATTTTTTCAAGGCCAACAATTCATGCTGGGCCCACTGAAACAGGGATGGCCTCAGTGTGTGTGGCCAGCCATTCAGAGGGCTAGATCTGATGCTTATGATTTTGAGTATGAAGGAATATAGCAGAAGTAAGGAAAACTCAGACAGTCTTTGACACATCTCTCTCTTGACTCCACATCCAAACAACATGCCAAGTCCTCCCAATTCTTCCTCCTCCAGTATGGTTGTATCCATCCTTCCTTCTCCATTGTGGCTGCATCATTCTTCCTTTCCACTGTTCTGCTGTAACCCCCATTCAGATTTTTATCATTCTACTGTTGAAGATTTCCAAAGAGCTTGCTTTGTTCAGAAGGCCACTGTGAAAAATACAGGCTGCAGACTAAATGTTCCAGGTTCAAATAAATTTGAGAAAGGCCGGGTTAATAAAAATTAATCAAATTTCTATTGCAGGACTTCTCAGAGCCTGTATTACTCTACGAGTATTGCAAATCTCCAAGAAGAGATTTAACGTGCAAGTTTTCCAGGATTATTTAGCTGCTGAATATATTTATGGAGGTAGGTGGGGGAAGCACTATTAACTTTGGATAAAATCTAGAAAAATGCTAATATAGAGCAAGAGCTTCCTAAATGGTCTCTCTGCCTCCAATCTCATTGTCCCTCAACCTTCTGGTCCCATGACAGTTGAATTAATCTACCTAAGGTTCTGCCTAGAGGTGTTGCCCACAGGCTGCCAAAGGAAGCACATCAAAGTCTACTTGAGCTTTAGCTCAACTTACCCTTCTGGACTTTTAGCTGACTGTGCCTCACACAAACCCTACACTTAGAACAAATTAGACTGAATGTCCTGCCCAGAGAAGGTGCAGCCTTTCCCACCCTCCTATAAAAACTCCCTCATGCCATCCCCTGTCAAAACTCTGCCATCCACTGGCGTCCACCTCTTGACCTTCTCTCCTCTCTCCAGTCAGAGGGAATTTCTCCTCCATTTGGATTCCCCGACACCTTACATGGCGTCATACCATCATTGTCTGTATGTTGCATCATCCCTCCTGTTTGGTCTGGTTTGGTTTTGAAGGAAGGAGACAGTACCTCCTCCATCTTTGAATTCTTTGTCTTTCCTAATATTTGCTTGGGGTTTATTTCCTCTGTCTTCTAAAAAACTTTTAAAAATCACACAAGTAATAAGTAAATACATGCTTGTCAAAATCCAAACACCACCAAAATATGTAGAGGAAAAATCAAGACCCATTCTCTGCTCCCATCGTCTTCTTTTCTAACTCTTCTAACAGGAAACTTCCATTAATAGTTGACTGTGTATCTTTCAAATCATATTTATATTTAAATATATATACATACAAATACTTTTTGATATAATTCAGTTTGTTAAAATACAAAACAAATGATAGTATTCTTACTGTGCTAGGCTTGAGTTTCTCAGTTTACAATATATCTTGAAGATCTTCCCTCAGTTATTACATATAGATCTAACTCAGTTTTAATGGCTTCATAATATTCTGTTTATGGAGGTACTACACTATATTCAACCATTCCCCTTGGAAACTTAGTTTGCTTATTTTCTCATAATTAAAATTAATGCTGCAATTAACATCCTTGTGCATATATCTTTATGTTCATTATATGAGTGATCTGATCTATAAAATACAGGTAGAATGTTGGACAAACATTCAGAACATATAAAGTTTTGATACTGACGAATTGTCTACTACAAAGCCAGTACTGACAATAAGTATGTGTTGAATGAATAAGTTTCAAATTATAATTCTCTAAAGGCCTTATCTCTCTGCTCCAGTGCCCAGCACAGGGCCGCACACAAATAGACAGTCAACAGACATTCCTGTTTAGCAACAGTGGTAACCAGTTTTACAAATTCCTATCAGCTGAATACAGGGTGGGTAGTAGCCTATGCAAAAGCAATCTGAAAGTCTTAGCTGACTACAAGCTTAACACAAGGCAAGATGAAGCAGCATGTTAAGAAAAAGACAGCTCTTCAGTTACATAAATAGAAGGATAATTTCCAAATCACAGGAATAAATAACCAATTCAATTCAACAAACGTCTGTCCCATAGACTTGTAGAAGTCAGACTACATATTTTTCAATTTGGGGCACTGGTCGTAAGACAGTCACAGACAACCTGTGGTTGTCTAAGGACAATAAAAGCTCTAATGCCATGTCACATGAGGCAGAGTCGAAAAACTGAGATATTTAGCCTAAAGAAGTAGACACTTAGGAGGCCCCTGATAGCCATCTTAAACAACTTGAAAGGCTGCCACGGGGGAAGAGGAAGCAGACATGCTCTGTGAACCAGCACTAATGGGTGGACTTGTCAAGCAGACAGATTTCAACCCAGTGTGAGCTGACCACTTTCTAACCACTTAGGTCATTCAACAATGAAATGAGCTGTCTCATGAGGTAATGAGGTTCCCATCACTAAAGAGGTAGCAGAAGAAGGGTGTGGCCTTTTAAGGATCTCGCAAAGGCTATCCTGAAGAGTAAGGCATCTCTGGGTGTCCCATCAGCATGGACAGAAACCAGCTTCCTCAGGGCAAAGGAATGAGCTCTTGGTCTGCTTTCCATTTATTCCAGCACCTCAATCTATAGTACCCTGAACAATTCTCTCCTAACATTCTAACGATGGTAGGGAGTGGTGGAGCACATGCCATGGCGTTGATAACCTTGCACTAAAGTGTCAGTACTTGCACATCCCTGGGAAGGAATGAGATTTTTTTTTGTATGAAAGGTCTGTGGGAAGAGGTCAATGCTCAATCCAAAAAAGGGGCCTAATAATAGTGGAGATTACCAGCACTGTGGCATTTTAGTGGAGGGCACATCTGAGGGCAAAGGAGTAACTCCTGGTACCCCTATAACTCTATCACAGAGGTGGCCTCTAGTTCCAGTGCCTGTTGGACAGGCTCTGGGGGCCAAAAGGAGAAGGCGAATGTCAACATCTGCTGCATCAAGTGTTTCCAACCCAAGGTCCAGCAATAACGGCAAATGGATTTTTGCCCAGAGATGACCATGCTCATCTTCCCCTCCCATCTTCTGTTCCAAGACCCAAATCAAGGAACTGAGGAGACAAATGATTTCCCAAATTCTACACACTTTCCTCCTGTCTTTAGATTCGTGGCTGCGTATCCCCTGATCCTTCAAGGGCCCATGAGCCTCTTTTAAGTGTCCCTGTTGCTCCTGGGCCAGACTCAGGCCCTCCATCTCTTCACCAGGTAACTCTGCCCACTCCCTGAGACTCCCATCCACCTCTCTGAGGCCCGTTCCAAGTATTATGGTGATGTCAGTAGTTTCTGGCTCCCTGCCTGCAGCCCACGCTTTCCTCCACAACAAAAATGCTTCAATTCTTCTGCCCCCATCGCCTTTCAAGTTGTCGGTCCCCAGTGGGCCACAAAAGGCTCTGTTCTCCTCCTGATGTCTCCTCAGCATAGATTCAAGACCGCCCCAGGGCAAGAGTTGCGGTTGGCGAGGGTGGGTGGGAAGACACTCAGGACCTCTTACATTCCCTTTTCACAGCACGTTGAGGAAACCGAGGCCCAGAAAGTAAAAGAGACTGGCTCAAAGTGACACAAAGTTGGTGGTGGAGGTCAGACTGGGACCAGATTTCCCCACATGGCATCCAGTCTTTCCACCCCATGTGCCTCCATGTGACAGCTCAGCCTAGGACTGCTTGATTTGGTTTTTACTTCATACACTTTAAAAGCAAAGCCCCCCTCTCCTCCTCCTCCTTCCCTCTGTCTCCTTCTCTCCTTGTCCCTCTTTCTGGCTCTTCCTCACCTTTTCTCTGTCTCTCATCTCCATCTCTCTTTCTATTCTCTCCACCTCAGTTCCTCTTCTCTTCTCGTCTCTTCTTTTCTCCTCACCTCTTCTCTTTCCTTCCATACATTCCTTCTCTCTCTCTCTCTCTGATAAAGGAGGAAGAAGATCTGCTTTCTCACACAGGTTTGGTGTCCTCCACAGGTTGGGGAGGAGGGCGTGGAGCAGGACCAGACGAGAAGGACTGAGGTGTTCCCCCTACTTGGTTAACTGGGTCACATTCCTCCAGGCTCCATTCTCTGACACTGCAATCTGGATAGTCTGTCTATTTCTTTTTAAAGGAACGCAATTTTATTTTCCCTTATTTTTTCCTTAATTGGACATTGAAGCAGTCATATCAAGTGAAGGAGGGGTGCTTTGCTGCTAATTAAAGTGTTTCCCCTGTTGAATCTTTTTGGGGAGTGAGGAGAGGAGTAATTAAGAGGGAGGGTGGAAGTCACCTGGAAAGAGAACACTCGCTGAAATGCCGATGGCATCTGAGGAAGCAGCTCAGTGTGTTCTGCTTCAGACCTTGTAACAATGAGAGAGGAGTAGGAGTCAGGTTTTGCAACCAGATACCTGGATAATGTGTAATATGTAAGGAACACAGATGAGATGGCCTTTTATTATTTTTCTAATCTATGCTGTCAGGTTTCACTTATGAAATGGAGGAGAGACAAAGCAGACATATTTCTCTATGGAGTCCTCAGCTTGTCCCCTGTGGACATTTTACTTTCCAATGCCTGGATTTTCTCACATCTGGACTGAAGGAATTGAACTAGATAAGAGGTTTTCAAATAATATTCCAAGCATCCCCAGTGCTCACTACAAATGTATTTCTGGGTTTCTACACACAGAAAAATAGTGTCTGCCAAACAATGAAGGTGGAGACTTCCAGAGAAACCTGCCTCTTGCTTTTGTTTGTTTAATCTATTGGGGTTCCAGGTAAGATTTAGTTTGAAAAAAGAGTTCTCCTAAAGTGTGAAAATCACTAAAGTAGACTATTGTTTTCCTTATACAGAGGCTATAGAGAGTTGTCCAAATCTGGTAAATGAGATTGTCCTCTGGGAGTGAAAAGATAAGTCAGCCTA